AAGTTTGGTACCATGCACTCTTTTAATCTTTCAGTCATTTTGGTGTGTTGTATGCTTACTGTTATTTAGCTGAGCATTTTTTATGAAAACCTCCTTTAAAGTTGGTTGCACATCAGATTAAAGTGAAATTGACTGTAAGCAGATCCTTACTTCCCAAACTCTGTAAAAGGTTTCCAGATGGTTTACCTCCTCTCCCCCTCTTTCTCCTTTTGAGGAAGAGTTGCTCACGGAAAACTGACGCAAGGGAATTGGTGCGGCCTGTCTCTGACAGACTTCTGGCCCACATTAAGATAGGGTCTTACCGTATTTGTTTACTTAATGACAAAAGTCCTGATATCTGTTCTCTAAGGGTTGTTTATAATGTATGCTAAACACTTGGAGACCACATTATCAGCTGGCTCTGGCCTGGGGTTCTCTCGAATGAGATGGATGACGTCTTGAACGTGACATGGTGGTAGTAGCAAGTCCTACCAGTTGCCTAAGTAAGTTTGAGTGATGTTTGGCTACCCTTACAGTTTCCACACAGACCAGGGCATTGTTTTCCAGTGGCCTTGAGAGCAGAAATGAGGTCATTAGGAGTTGGTTGAATCCCATTCTAGAGCTTCAAAGACAGTTTCCTGCTCTACATTTACAGTAACATCTCTAAGCCTGGTCTGACAGTTATGACATGGTTGCCCTGTCCCAATACAATACAGTAAGTCACATTAAACATCCTCCTCCTCCACATAAAGATTCCTCTCTCCAAAGCACCCGTCCTCTCATGTTGTAGATCCCCTTGGCTGGGCCGTTTATCAGTGTATCTGTTTAGTGTCAACCATGTCCCGCCACATATGGCACACATCACTGGGCCTATAAAGCACTAACACTGTAATCCTCAATGAGATTATACAAAGAAGAGGAAAGCACTCCAGTCCAAACACAGGTTCTGCATAAACCAAATATGTAGCGGATATGGTGGGTTACAGTTTATCACTTTGGCGCCATTTTCACCAAAGCGATAAAAGTATGTGGTGAATTTTCAAAACTCTTTGTACAAAACTGCAAACTGGTACCACGTGTAACACAGCAAGTCTTATATTCAAAACCTTTTATTGTGCATTAATTTTGTTTGGAGACATCTTTCACCAGACAACCATTGATCCTAAATATAAGTTTACTGTGAAATACCATGAAAACATTGATTTAAATCACCAAAACACATATTCTTAATTTAGCTGTTTTAACGACAAGTAAATCCAATAGCAAAAAATGCAAGATACATTTGTAAAAATTGCCATTTGAATGTAATATGCTACATCCCTGTAAATTACAGTACATTACACTGTTTTCACATTAGGCAATACACTTGCACTACCCATCAAAATTGACCCATCAAAAATGGACCCATCATTTCTATCCCATGTGTGATCAAAGGTGTGCTCAGTGAAGACATCTTTCACAATCAATGATGCAAAACATTTTTGTATTGTTCAGATATACAGTACCAGGAAAAGTTTGGACACACCTACTCATTCAAGGGTTTTTCTTTATTTTTTACTATTTTCTACATTGTAGAATGATAGTGAAGACATCAAAACTATGAAATAACACATATGGAATCATGTAGTAAACAAAAAAAGTGTTAAACAAATCTAAATATATTTTATATTTGAGATTCTTCTAAGTAGCCACCCTTTGCCTTGATGACAGCTTTGCACACTCTTGGCATTCTCTCAACCAGCTTCATGAGGAATGCTTTTCCAACAGTCTTGAAGGAGTTCCCACATAGGCTGAGCACTTGTTGGCTGCTTTTCCTTCACTCTGCGGTCCAACTCATCCCAAACCATCTCAATTGGGTTGATGTCGGGTGATTGTGGAGGCCAGGTCATCTGATGCAGCACTCCATCACTCTCCTTCTTGGTCAAATAGCCCTTACACAGCCTGGAGGTGTGTTGGGTCATTGTCCTGTTGAAAAACAAATGATAGTCCCACTAAGCCCAAACCAGATGGGATGGCGTATCGCTGCAGAATGCTGTGGTAGCCATGCTGGTTAAGTGTGCCTTGAATTGTAAATAAATCACAGACAGTGTCACCAGCAAAGCACCCCCACACCATCACACCTCCTCCTCCATGCTTCAAGGTGCGAACCACACATGCGGAGATCATCCGTTCACCTACTCACAAAGACACGGCGGTTGGAACCAAAAATCGCCAATTTGGACTCCAGACCAAAGGACAGATTTCCACCGGTCTAATGTCCATTGCTCGTGTTTCTTGGCCAAAGCAAGTCTCCTCTTTTTATTGGTGTCCTTTAGTAGTGGTTTCTTTGCAGCAATTGAACCATGAAGGCCTGATTGACGCAGTCTCCTCTGAACAGTTGATGTTGAGATACTGTTCTGTTACTTGAACTCTGTGAAGCATTTATTTGGGCTGCAATCTGAGGTGCAGTTAACTCCAATGAAATTAACCTCTGCAGCAGAGGTAACTGGGTCTTCCTTTCCTGTGGCGGTCCTCATGAGAGCCAGTTTCATCATAGCGCTTGCTGGTTTTTGTGACTGCACTTGAACAAACTTTCAAAGTTCTTGACATTTTCTGGACTGACCGACCTTCATGTCTTAAAGTAATGATGGACTGTCGTTTCTCTTTACTTATTTGAGCTGTTCTTGACATAATATGGACTTGGTCTTTTACCAAATAGGGCTATCTTCTGTATACCACCCCTACCTTGTCACAACACAACTGATTGGCTCAAACGGATTAAGAAGGAAAGAAATTCCAGAAGGCACACCTGTTAATTGAAATGCATTCCAGTTGACTACCTCATGAAGCTGGTTGAGAGAATGCCAAGAGTATGCAAAGCTGTCATCAAGGCAAAGGGTGGCTACTTTGAAGAATCTCAAATATAAAATACATTTTGATTTGTTTAACACTTTTTTGGTTACCACATGATTCCATATGTGTTATTTCATTGTTATGATGTCTTCACTATTATTCTACAATGTAGAAAATAGTAAAAATAAAGAAAAACCCTTGAATGAGTAGGTGTGTCCAAACTTTTGACTGCCACTGTAATTACAACATAGGTGTACTGTAATAAAATGAAACAAATTAAATGGATGAAGGAAACAACGTTTAGCAGGCACTAGTTTGCATCAAACCTGTCTTGAACATTTGGCCATAGGTTCTTATCGACATCGCAGTAAATGTCCTCATTGTTCATGCACCTGGGGAAAAACCTTTTGGCATGGCGAATCCAAGCCTGACATAGGTCTGGATTGATGTCATTGCATGCCTCATCCATGGCCTGGAGGGGGGCACGCTGATGGGGATGGAATACACCTTCCACATGTATTGTAATTATATTATATTATACAGCACACATTCACACACACCCATTTATTATATGATGATGTCTAGAGGAGGCTGTACTCTGTGGAGGAGACTGAGGAGGAATATGAGGAGACTTCACACTACGCACAACAGACTGAGGACCAGGGGACATGGATCTCTGCTTTCATGTTCCCCATCATCTAACTAAACACATACACACAGATTGTGGGGTGGAGATATTATTTACCCGGGCAGGTATGGATCAGATTTAAATCAACATATTTCCAGCGATTGTCATCATTTCTGGCAGCACTATCAATAACAGCAAGGAATATCAGTGGACCAAACAGTGTTCCCTGGGCCACCCCCCCGTGAGTTCTTGCCAGTCAGAGAGGCAGTCCTAGTCGTGCACACTTTGCTTTCGGCCAGCCAGAAAACTACAGACCCATGGTAGCAGTGCTGGTCTCATGCCCAGTTGGATCAGACACTCTATTGCTGTGGTGTGGTCAATCTTATCAAAGGCTTTGGAAAAGTCTAGTGATTAAGCGGGTATTGTGGATGGAGTGTCAGACTCTTTGTATAGGCAAATCAAGCATACTGACCAGGGCATGGGTGGCTGATCTGTTCGGCCTGCTCCCAAATTGCCTAGGGTCTACGTTTGGTGACCTCTTTAATCCAGGCTGCGCCAAAATGCTCACCTACTTTAGAGAGCTGTGGAGTTAATGATAGCCATTTGCTGTGTCTGATGGGCTGTGTGAGAGTAGAGGTTTCAGGCGAGGAGGATGCTCTTCCCAGACCTGCCAAATCTCATGGTAAGGGGGCTGGGAACACCGGGACCACCGCAACCAAGCCAGGCTGCTCCCCGGAGATTTACCACACCTACTCGGCTAGAAGGATGCTGCCGGCCGCGGCGGTCAGAGGAAGGAAAGTCACCCACCCGGGGAAGGCCATTCTAGCAGGTGAATGCAGCAGCTAGCTACTGTTATAGAAATATGCTGTAACACTGTAGCTATAGCAGAGACAAATTCATTGCACAGCATTTACTGTAGCTAACATTAACGGAAAGCTGTAATGCTAGACAGACAGCTCACCCCATCGAACCGCATTATCGCAATCTCATCTCACAGTGAGCTAGCTAGTGTGGAACTAGGTTTAACGACCTCACCCAGTCATTCATTCTTTGACAAGACGAGCTGGCGTTGCTATGGCTAATGCCTAGCTAGATAGACATGATCATTGTTCCACAATGTTATCCTAGCTACCTACAACATAGGATATGAGTAGCTATAGCCTGTCTCTTTCTCTCGCCCTCTTCTCTATCACTCCATCTCTCCTCAGGTTTGGGATGCTCTAGGTGCGTGATGTGACCGGTCGCCTAGATAACACACGCAGCCTATGGTGTGGCCTGGTGGCAGGAAAAGCGGAGGCCATCATCGTCGTCTGTCCAATAGAAACACTTAAGGTGGGCGGAGCTCCAAGGTAGACAAAAAACATGACACATTGTCACAACTGGCCAAGAGAGGGACAGACCTGTGAACATCACTCTCATGTACAGTACATCTAGTCATTTAGCAGACACTCCCATTTGTTCCAGGGATGTATTCACTAAGAACCAAAGGGAAGCAAACTGTAGTAGTTCAGGATGGACATCCAACATTTTGAACATTATTTTAGGATAGAAAGTTGCCAATATGTGTGCTCTCTGTATATTGCAAAGTGGTTGTCTTCCTGTGGTGTGTGTGTGCGCGCGAGGGACGTACCAGGCTTTAACTGTGACAGTGCTAAAACAGGGATCCAATCAGGCGATACGCTTCTACGTGATGAACTCTCTACGGAACTGGTACAAAGGTGAGACGGGTTAGAGGTCAAAGGTTCAGGTGAGACAGACATGTGTTAGAGGTCATGTTAACTTCACAAAAAGTTGGTTCCACGTCATAATAGCCCAGTGTCGTGTCCGGTGTTTGACTAAACCGTTTTTTTGTAACAAATAAGATAAGAAAAACTGAACTGGCCCAAACTAATTTGCACTTAATAAGTCTTAGTCACTTCCTGTCTCTGGACCAATCACCATCTCTGGTACGACACCAGTCATAGCTCAGAACCTGACGGAGGGTGGAGGTCAGTTTGACTCCAGTCTGACCCCAGGGCGTGCATTTCCTAGGAGACGACCTCCGGCGGGAGATGCACCCTATTGTCACGGTGATGCTCAGGACGACGTGCAGAGCTGCTAGGGTGTTTGGAAACACTCTTCTGGACGTGGTCAAGACCAGGATGCAGGTACACATCGAAGCACTGTGTGTGTGTTTAGGAATTTGTAGGATTTACAGGTGTGTGAGATACAGAAGAAGCTTGATAATGCAAGCTAGCCACCTAACGTTAGCAAACCAAATGCATAGCTGGAGCCCTGAGTTGGAGAAAATGTATTTGGCACATCTTAGATAGTCAACTAATAGTTACACGATATTTAGCAGGCAAACAGTAGTAGTGAATTTCAAGTGTAACTTGATCACCTCTAGTGCTGCTCAACAGTGTATCTTCGCGTCACGTTTGTTCCATGTGCTTTTTGTAAAACAATCAAACCATGTGACTGGCTCAATTGAATTTTTGTGAATTTTAAAAAAAGAACACCTTCGGTACTTCAAAATGCCCCAGTTTACCACCCAAACCTAATGCAGTGGTTGGAGGTCCACCGGTACAGCAGCACGATGGACTGTGCCTTCCAGATCCTCAAGAACGAAGGACCACAGCTGTGAGTAACTCTATGCTACACTCCCTCTCTCCATTGCTCTTCCTCCACTCTCTTTGTCGCTTAGATATGGTCATCGTCTAACCCTCTCACCCTCTCTGTGTGTGTGCGTGTGTGGGGCTAGGTTCTATAAGGGTACGGTGCTGAGGCTAGGCAGGGTGTGTCTAGATGTGGTTATCGTGTTTGTCATCTATGAAGAGGTGGTCAAACTACTCAAAGTCTGATCGGGGGCAGGAGGAGGACAGAAGAGAGGGATTGGAGCAGAGGGAATGACTAGATTGCTGACGTGCCACTTTTTGGGGGCAAAATGAGAATTGAGACAATCAGAATGCACTTGTAACTACAGCTTGTAAATATTACAAAACCAATTTGTGAGCATCTTGTGTATCCCGAGAACTGTTTTGTAACATGATTCGCTATGAAACACTGCCAGACAGTGTCGCTTGTGCTTTATTTATGATAGTTTGACAGCTTGCAGATGAAGTTAGACATGTTATTGTTTTCAGAAATCAGTCCTGAGCGCGCAGCCAGACCTGACTCGAGACTGTATGCAGTGCACTGACTAGTTTTTCCCTGCATATTTTTTTAAATAAATAAAAACAGCACCAAACACCTTAGCTAGATGTAAAATTGCGCGACTAAGATCTCCTCTGCAAAAACATCTAAATTCATTACATATTTCTTGATTTATCTTAGATTAATTCTGACTATTTTGAGGAAGTGGCTACGGTGACTCAGGACAACAGTACCTGCCATGGCAGTTTGGTTTGTACGACATAGTTCCAGTAATGCCTGGCAAAAACCAAACTCTGGTATGATGTTCTTACTGTGGAATGCAGAGTTTGGTTTTTGCCAGGCATTACTGGAACCATGTCATACAAACCAAACTCTGCATTCCACAGTAAGAACATCATACCAAAGGTCAAGCATGGTGGTGTGATGGTTTGGGGATGCTTTGCTGCCTCAGGACCTGGACGACTTGCCTTAATAGAACATGAAAGTTGCTAAAAAGCAACAAATTGGATGTTTTGGAATGGCCTAGTCAAAGTCCAGACCTAATCCCAATTGAGATGTTGTGGCAGGACTTGAAACTAGCAGTTCATGCTTGAAAACCCACACGTCACTGAGTTAAAGCAGTTCTGCATGGAAGAGTGGGCCAAAATTCCTCCACAGCGATGTGAGAGGCTGATCAACAACTACAGGAAGCATTTGGTTAGAGTCATTGCAGCTAAAGGTGGCACAACCAGTTATTGAGTGTAAGGGGGCAATTACTTTTTCACACAGGGGAATTGGGTGTTGCATAACTTTGTTTATGAAATAAATGAAATAAATATGTAATTGTTGTGTTATTTGTTGACTTATGTTCCCTTTATCTAATATTAGGTTTTGGTTGAAGATCTGATAACATTCAGTATCACAAATATGCAAAAGTAGAGAAAATTAGAAAGGGGACAAATACTTTTTCATAGCACTAATATATATATATATATATATATATATGTATATACAAATTGCAGACCGAATCTTCAATAAAAATAATTAAATATAGTTCAGGTAATATGGGTCATATTTGAACAGTTTGGGCTAGAGCAGGGGTCTCCAACCTTTTTCATAAGAGCTACTTCATACGAAACATTGTTTTGCGAGCTACTCATTTAGGCTACTGCCTGCATATTCTGTTATTGTGTAGGCCTAGTTTGATGAATAGAAACAAAAGAACAGCACTGTCTGCATACATAATGTAATTGCGTTTGGTTCTTAAAATCACACATTAGTGTAGCCTACCTTGAGAATCTTGCCTTTTTAAGATGAGAAACTAAAAGGGGGTGCTGAGGAGCATTTTTCTCTGCTCATACTGGTAATAAAGGCCTTGTGCACTAATTTGGTGGGATATATATATATATATATATATATATATATAGATCTATCTATCCATCCATCTATATACCACGTTTAACCACGCCAGCCCAGGACCTCCATATCTGGCTTCTTCACCTGCGGGATTGTCTGAGACCAGCCACCCGGACAGCTGATGAAACTGTGGGTTTGCACAAACAAAGAATTTCTGCAAAAACTGTCAGAAACCGTCTCAGGGAAGCTCATCTGCATGCCAGTTGTCCTCACCAGGGTCTTGACCTGACTGCAGTTCGGTGTCGTTATCGACTTCAGTGGGAAAATGCTCACCTTCGATGGCCACTGGCACGCTGGAGAAGTGTGCTCCTCACTGATGAATCCCGGTTTCATCTGTACCGGGCAGATGGCGTTGTGTGGGCGAGCGGTTTGCTGATGTCAACGTTGTGAACAGAGTGCCCCATGGTGGGGGTGGGGTTGTGGTCAACGAACACAACTGCATTTTATCAACGGCAATTTGAGATACTGTGACGAGTTCCTGAGGCCCATTGACGTGCCATTCATCCACCGCCATCACCTCATGTTTCAGCATGATAATGCACAGCCCCATGTCGCACGGATATGTACACAATTCCTGGAAAATGTCCCAGTTCTTCCATGGCCTGCATACTCACCAGATATGTCACCCATTGAGCATGTTTGGGATACTCTGGATCGACGTGTACAACAGCGTGTTCCAGTTCCCGGCCAATATCCAGCAAACTCGCACAGCCATTGAACAGCAGTGGGACAACATTCCACAGGCCACAAATCAACAGCCTGATCAACTCGGTGTGTCGCGCTGCATAAGGTAAATGGTGGTCACACCAGATACAGACTGCTTTTCTGATCCATGCCCCTACTTTTTATTTTTAAGGTGTCTATGACCAACAGATGCATTTCTGTATTCCCAGTCATGTGAAATCCATATACTAGGGCCTAATGAATTTATTTAAATTGACTGATTTCCTTATATGAACTGTAACTTAGTAAAATATTTTAAATTGTTGCATGTTTATATTTTTGTTCAGTGTATTTTAATACAGACTAGCTCAAAACAATCATTGAAAATTACAAATTCCCCAAGGGATCATGATAATTTTCTGGTAAAAAAGTGGGGGTGCAAAAACATGCATTTGGACCCCTATTTTGAAAGTAGGGGTGCAGCTGCTCCGTTTGCTCAGGCACCTATGACTATGTGGACAATGCTCCTTTTAAAAGGAGCATGCTGCAGATGTCGTCTCAAGGGTAAATTAACTTTGAAAGCCAAGAGCCATGTGCTTCTCTACAAGGTGCCTTTCAATTAATCCCTGCTTTAGTCCAAAACTGGTAGATTTAATTCTGCGTCAAAATAAGCATGCGGTCACCCAATCAGTGTCTGTTCTTGAAGTTTGATCAACCAATCACAGTCGGTTCCATCTCCTAAACAGACAGTTCTGTGAAAGAGTACTTTATATTCCTCTCTGGTTCTATAAACTACGGCACAAACACACACAGACAGACTTCCACAAAATGACAGTACTCAGAACTTTTTATATCTACTGTGTTTAATAATGAAACACTATAATCTCGGTTTACATAATAGAATACAGAGGGAGGAAGTGGTCCTTCAGACAGGGACTAGATCAGACTATCAGACACAGCAAATAACTGTTAAAACAGTAGAGCCATCAGGCTAGGTATAGAGGACCAGTCAGTCATAGAGCAGAGCAGCTAACAATCCTGTCACTAACTGTCCTGTCACTTAAGTAGAGGGAAGCAGCAGAGCAGGACTTAGCCCTTTAGCCTAGCAGCTGACTGCCCACAGAGAGGATTAGAGCAGAGACACAGCAGTGTCAGGAAAGAAGGATGTATTAGTCAAGAGAGAACCAGCAGGTCAGAAGCAGCCAGTAAGAGAAATGTTATTATAGTATAGAATTACACAACGGGTGGGTCTAATCCTGAATGCTTATTGGTTAAAACCACATTCCAGCACGTCTCTTCCACAAGGAATGGAACATGTAGAACGAACGACTGAACGACTGGGTCGCGTCTCTAGCAACCGATCCGATGGAACGAATGACCAGCCGGCTTGGGTAGCAATCCTAGAATTGCGTCGGGACTATATATTGTGGAAGGATGAAATAGTATAAATTAATTAATCAAAATAACATTTAATGAAAATATGTCAATCATTATTTGAATATGTTGGTAACCTGTTGCATAAAATGATAATGCCCTCAAAGCCGGTGTTTGGAGGATATATTGGCACCCGTGCCAATATATCTTCCAAATACCAGCTTCGAGGGCATTATCACTTAAATATTGCTATTTCGTTTGTATATAGTTTCATGGACAGAAAGCATGCGTGGGAGGCTAGGGGGGTGGATGTAACTTCTTGCCACTGGGGGGCAGCAATACAAAAGGTGATGGGTCAAAAATTGCTAGGTAGTAGTACAAAATATACTACTAAAGTTGAAAAGTATTGGATGTGCGAGAGAGGGTTTCCTTCCACCATATTTTTGGCACCAGTCTCGGCACTATTCCTTTTATATCCAAGTCACAATTATAGTTTAAACCTAACCTAGTGATAAAAATGCACAAGCTAGGCCCATTTGAAATATCGCCATCTCCTGGCAGCATTTACCCTCCAGATTCAGTAGCTTGAACCCCCCCCCCCCCCCCCCCATTAGATTTTGCCAGAACTTTTTAAAAATGAAGTAAAACTGAACATAATTCATTATGGTTTTTATTTTTATTGTAGTTAGTTTCAGTATAGTTTTCATTTTTCAAAAGGGTTTGTTAATTATATTTATTTCAGTTTACTAAATGGTTTTTCCTGATTAGTTTTACTTTCCTATAACAACCTTGAGAGAATGCAATAGTAGAAGACACCAGGTGTTCCAACAAGCTGTATTAAGACTCCTTTACTCCTACAGTCCCCCTGCTGTGTACCTGCCAGCTAAGGCTCAGGTATAGACGTCAACACACACATATATTAGATATCGTACCTTACTAGCCCCAGGCTCCCTCCACTAATGCCACCCCTACTTCCATACCTCTAGTTATATCCTCCTCTCCATTTCTCATCACTCTCTCCCTTTCCTTTCTTCCTCCTACATCACATTGATCAGCAGTCCTCAGTAAGTGTGGCTGTTGTTGACAGTTAAAAGCAGGGCATTATGGTCCAATGTAGGACCAGGACGTCTCAGACCGCTGGCCCCGCATCCTGTCAGTCATCCTGGCCTCCTGATTGGTGGAGACAGGGGCTAGTAAGGCATGTGATTGGTGTGGCTACCTCCTCCATCTGTTAAGATACAGGAAATAGAGCTGTTACTCTACTGACCACGAGAGAGAGAGCGTGTGAGGAAGTTAGTGTGTGTGAGAGGGACTTACATTCTGAGACACTTGTCTTTTCCTCCGCTGACTACTCTCTGACCATCAGGACTCCAGTCCACAGCAAACACCTGTGAGCGAGAGAGTGAGAAAGTGACAGACAGAGACAGAGGGACAGAGTTATATATGTTACAGTAATGGTGCAATTCCACTGAAGATTTACCCCAGTGTTTTACCAAAAAGCCTCAGATTTTTGTGTTTCCACTGCCAAGGCCCAGCGACTCACTGGGCCATGGCCTCAGTGGACCTGCTGCTACTCCAGGCCAAGGCCAGGCCACTGGTACTTTTCAACTAGCATTTAACATAATGGATAGCTGTGAACATAGGTTTACACTAGCGATGTTACAAATGGACAATTGTTCTTAACATTAATAAAAAATAAGTCTGATTTTATTTTATATTTTATAAACAATCCATTCACATACAAATGACAACATCATACAAACATCAACTACATCACACCTGCCCAGACCCACAAGCTCACACCCATCTCCAGAACATGCATCACTTTCCGCCACATGGCCTCAAACTGCACCATTTTGTTTATCTCCGTAGCCCACGCACTTTACATTTTTTGATAATAAAGCATTTGACCTTTCCATTGCTTTAATGTTTATTTTTAAAAGATAATTGACGAGAAAATAACTAATTTCATTAATTAGGTTCCAACATTCCCTCCATCTCGTGCCAATATCAGTTGGGGACTGTGAAGAGACCTCCTGTGGCATGTCTTGTGGGGTATGCATGGGTGTCCGAGCTGTGCGCCAGTAGCCCAAACAGATAGCTCGGTGCACTCAACATTTATGAGAGCTATTATGTCAATACCTCTCATAAATACAAGTAGTGATGAAGTCAATCTCTCCTCCACTTTGAGCCAGGACTGATTGACATGCATATTAATGTTAGCTCTCTGTGTACATCCAAGGGTCAGCCGTGCTGCCATGTTCTGAGCCAATTGCAATTTCCCTAAGTCCCTCTTTGTGGCACCTGACCACACGACTGAACAGTAGTCCATGTGCGACAAAACTAGGGCCTGTAGGACCTGCCTTGTTGATAGTGCTGTTAAGAAGGTAGAGTAGCACTTTATTATGGACAGACTTTTCCCCAGCTTAGCTACTGTTGAATCAATATGTTTTGACCATGACAGTTTACAATCCAGGGTTACTCCAAGCAGTTTAGTCACCTCAACTTGCTCAATTTCCACATTATTTATTACAAGATTTAGTGAATGATTTGTCCCAAATACAATGCTTTTAGCTTTAGAAATATTTAGGACCAACTTATTCCTTGCGACCCACTCTGAAACTAACTGCAGCTCTTTGTTAAGTGTTGCAGTCATTTCAGTCGCTGTAGTAGCTGACGTGTTGAGTCATCCGCATACATAGACACACTGGATTTACTCAAAGCCAGTGGCATGTCGTTAGTAAAGATTGAAAAAAGTAAGGGGCCTAGACAGTTGCCCTGGGGAATTCCTGATTCTACCTGGATTATGTTGGAGAGGCTTCCATTAAAGAACACCCTTGTGTTTTGTTAGACAGGTAAACTCTTTATCCACAATATAGCAGGGGGTGTAAAGCCATAACACATACATTTTTCCAGCAGCAGACTATGATTGATAATGCCAAAAGCCACACTGAAGTCTAACAGCACCCACTATCTTTTTATCATCAATTTCTCTCAGCCAATCAGTCATTTGTCTAAGAGCTGTGCTTGTTGAATGTCCTTCCCTATAAGCGTGCTGAAAGTCTGTTGTCAGTTTGTTTACTGTAAAATAGCATTGTATCTGGACAAAAACAATTTTTTCCAAAAGTTTACTAAGGGTTGGTAACAGGCTGATTGGGCTGCTATTTGAGCCAGTAAAGGGGGCTTTAATATTCTTAGGTAGCGGAATGACTTTTGCTTCCCTCCAGGTCTGGGGAACACACTTTCTAGTAGGCTTAAATTGAAAATATGGCAAATAGAAGTGGCAATATCGTCCACTATTATCCTCAGTAATTTTCCATCCAAGTCGTCAGACCCCGGTGGCTTGTCATTGTTGATAGACAATCATTTTTTCACCTCTTCCACACTCACTTTATGGAATTCAGAAATACAATGCTTCTCTTTCATAATTTGGTCAGATATACACTACCGTTCAAAAGTTTGGGGTCACTTAGAAATGTCATTAAAATAACAACAAATTGATCAGAAATACAGTGTAGACATTGTTAATGTTGTAATTGGCTATTGTAGCTGGAAACGGCTGATTTTTAATAGAATATCTACATAGGCGTACAGAGGACCATTATCAGCAACCATCAGTCCTGTGTTCCAATGGCACGTTGTGATTGCTAATCCAAGTTTATCATTTTAAAAAGGCTAATTGAGCATTAGAAAACCCTTATGCAATTATGTTAGCACAGCTGAAAACTGTTCTGCTGATTAAAGAAGCAATAAAACTGGCCTTCTTGAGATTAGTTGAGTATCTGGAGCATCAGCAATTGTGGGTTCAATTACAGGATCAAAATTCCCAGAAACAAATAACTTTCTTCTGAATCTCGTCAGTCTATTCTTGCTCTGGGAAATGAAGGCTATTCCATGCGAGAAATTGCCAAGAAACTGAAGATCTCGTACAACGCTGTGTACTACACCCTTCACAGAACAGCGCAAACTGGCTCTAACCAGACTAGAAAGAGGAGTGGGAGGCCCCGGTACACAACTGAGCAAGAGGACAAATACATTAGAGTGTCTAGTTTGACAAAAAGACGCCTCACAGTTGCCTTGCTCAGATGTTGAAATGCAGTTATCTACTTTATTTCTCAGAATGAGGACGAGCTGCCAATTCCATATATAAATTGTGTTTTAGGCTTATTGCACATTTATAAAACACAACCTAGACAGCTAGTATAAGCTGAGCATACATTTTCCAGAATCAATGTTCATTGATACAGTGAGGGAAAAAAGTATTTGATCCCCTGCTGATTTTGTACGTTTGCCCACTGACAAAGAAATGATCAGTCTATAACTTTAATGGTAGGTTTATTTGAACAGTGAGAGACAGAATAACAACAACAAAATCCAGAAAAACGCATGTCAAAAATGTTATGAATTAATTTGCATTTTAATGAGGGAAATAAGTATTTGACCCCTCAGCAAAACATGACTTAGAACTTGGTGGCAAAACCCTTGTTGGCAATCACAGAGGTCAGACGTTTTTTGTAGTTGGCCACCAGGTTTGCACACATCTTAGGAGGGATTTTGTCTCACTCCTCTATGCAGATCTTCACCAAGTCATTAAGGTTTTGAGGCTGACGTTTGGCAACTCGAACCTTCAGCTCCCTCCACAGATTTTCTATGGGATTAAGGTCTGGAGACGGGCTAGGCCACTCCAGGACCTTAATGTGCTTCTTCTTGAGCCACTCCTTTGTTGCCTTGGCCATGTGTTTTGGGTCATTGTCATGCTGGAATACCCATCCACGACCCATTTTCAATGCCCTGGCTGAGGGAGCCCAAGATTTGATGGTACATGGCCCCGTCCATCGTCCCTTTGATGCGGTGAAGTTGTCCTGTCCCCTTAGCAGAAAAGCACCCCCAAAGCATAATGTTTCTACCTCCATGTTTGACGGTGGGGATGGTGTTCTTGGGGTCATAGGCAGCATTCCTCCTCCTCCAAACACGGCGAGTTGAGTTGATGCCAAAGAACTCCATTTCGGTCTCATCTGACCACAACACTTTCACCCTCTGAATCATTCAGATGTTCATTGGCAAACTTCAGACGGGCATGTATATGTGCTTTCTTGAGCAGGGGGACCTTGCGGGCGCTGCAGGATTTCAGTCCTTCACGGCGTAGTGTGTTACCAATTGTTTTCTTGGTGACTATGGTCCCAGCTGCCTTGAGATCATTGACAAGATCCTCCCGTGTAGTTCTGGGCTGATTCCTCACCGTTCTCATGATCATTGCAACTCTACGAGGTGAGATCTTGCATGGAGCCCCAGGCCGAGGGAGATTGACAGTTATTTTGTGTTTCTTCCATTTGTGAATAATCGCACCAACTGTTGTCACCTTCTCACCAAGCTGCTTGGCGATGGTCTTGTGCCCATTCCAGCCTTGTGTAGGTCTACAATCTTGTCCCTGACATCCTTGGAGAGCTCTTTGGTCTTGGCCATGGTGGAGAGTTTGGAATCTGATTGATTGATTGCTTCTGTGGACAGGTGTCTTTTATACAGGTAACAAGCTGAGATTAGGAGCACTCCCTTTAAGAGTGTGCTCCTAATCTCAGCTCATTACTTGTATAAAAGACAACTTGGAGCCAGAAATCTTTCTGATTGAGAGGGGGTCATATACTTATTTCCCTCATTAAAATGCAAATCAATTTATAACATTTTTGACATGCGTTTTTCTGGATTTTTTTGATGTTATTCTGTCTCTCACTGTTCAAATAAACGTACCATTAAAATTATAGACTGATCATTTCTTTGCCAGTGGGCAAACGTACAAAATCAGCAAGGGATCAAATACTTTTTTCCCTCATTGTACTCCCATTTTAGTAGTGTCTGCTCTGTGCACAATTTGAGGAGTTGAGACATAAAAAAGGGTATTGGTAGAAAGGTCTCTTCTATTACAGTAAAATAATGTCTTAATGTGTTTCGGTGTACATACAGTGGGGAGAACAAGTATTGGAAACACTGCCGATTTTGCAGGTTTTCCCACTTACAAAGCATGTAGAGGTCTGTAATTTGTATCATAGGTACACTTCAACTGTGAGAGACGGAATCTAAAATCCAGAAAATCACATTGTATGATTCTTAAGTAATTAATTTGCATTTTATTGCATGACATAAGTATTTGATACATCAGAAAAGCAGAACTTAATATTTGGTACAGAAACCTGTTTGCAATTACAGAGATCATACGTTTCCTATAGTTCTTGACCAGGTTTGCACACACTGCAGCAGGGATTTTGGCCCACTCCTCCATACAGACCTTCTCCAGATCCTTCAGGTTTCGGGGCTGTCGCTGGGCAATACGTACTTTCAGCTCCCTCCAAAGATTTTCTATTGGGTTCAGGTCTGGAGACTGGCTAGGCCACTCCAGGACCTTGAGATGCTTCTTACAGAGCCACTCCTTAGTTGCCCTGTCTGTGTGTTTCGGGTCGTTGTCATGCTGGAGGACCCAGCCACGACCCATCTTCAGTGCTCTTACTGAGGGAAGGAGGTTGTTGGCCAAGATCTCGCGATACATGGCCCCATCCATCCTCCCCTCAATACGGTGCAGCCGTCCTGTCCCCTTTGCAGAAAAGCATCCCCAAAGAATGATGTTTCCACCTCCACGCTTCACGGTCGGGATGGTGTTCTTGGCGTTGTACTCATCCTTCTTCTTCCTCCAAACACGGCGAGTGGAGTTTAGACCAAAAAGCTCTATTTTTGTCTCATCAGACCACATGACCTTCTCCCATTCCTCCTCTGGATCATCCAGATGGTCATTGGCAAACTTCAGACGGGCCTGGACATGCGCTGGCTTGAGCAGGGGGATTGTCCATTGTGGAGAGGTTGGAATCTGTTTGATTGAGTGTGTGGACAGGTGTCTTTTATACAGGTAACGAGTTCAGACAGGTGCAGTTAATACAGGTAATGAGTGGAGAACAGGAGGGCTTCTTAAACAAAAACTAACAGGTCTGTGAGAGCCGGAATTCTTACTGGTTGGTAGGTGATCAAATATTTATGTCATGCAATAAAATGCAAATTAATTACTTAAACATCATACAATGTGATTTTCTGGATTTTTGTTTTAGATTCCGTCTCTCACAGTTGAAGTGTACCTATGATAAAATGTACAGACCTCTACATGCTTTGTAAGTAGGAAAACCTGCAAAATCGGCAGTGTATCAAATACTTCTTCTCCCCACTGTATATACATATATATACACAAATAAAATGTAGGCTATTTACTTAATTTTTGTTCTACTAAAATGCATAATTTTAACAAACAATTGTTGCAATTCATATCTTGCAGTAAAATACTTTAAATCTCAAGAGAAAACAGGTTAAATGTAAAAAAAATAAAAAAAGGTTTCATAATCTCCTATTTCGAAAACAGTCCTGATCATATAGGCCTAGATGATATCTGAAAGAAATACAATAAATGTTCAGTCATTTAAATTATAAACAATACCACAACAACTAAAGTATTAAATAATTTTGCTGTGTATTTCGGATGGAATCAAGGCATTAGAATGTACCAGAGGACACCAAAAGAGAACTTGTTTGGCAAAACAGCCCAGGAGGGGCACCTGGCTGGCTACTTTTTTTTAATTTTTTTGGCTGGCTACTCCATGTGCTTGTGGAAAACACTATCCCTCCCACCCTCTCACCTCATCTGCGTGTCCAGGTAGGTCAACTTGTAGTTTGCCAGTCTTGATGTCCCAGACCTTCAGAGTGGAGTCACTGGACCCACTGACCATCAGTCTACTGTCTGCTGACCACGCCACCTGGTACACTGCTGCTACATGACCACGCAGGGACTGTAGGTACCTACACACACACACACACACACAAGGTTAGAGTCCCACCCGGCGGAGAATACATCTGGTATTGAATCATGTTTTTATTCTCTGTAAAACAGAGCCGGTGCTTAGTGAATCAAATGCTCAGTGTGAATCAGAATAGAACAGAGATCTGGAATCGGTCATTATGCAAGCACAGCGGCTCAGTCGGTAGAACATGGTGCTTGCAACACCAAGGCTTGTCAGCTCAGTTCCCGCTGGGGCCATCCGTATGTAAAAAAAAATGTATGCACACATGTCCAAGTCACTTTGGATAAAAGCACCTGCTAAATGGCATGTATTATGGATTAGAATTCCCCCATTACTATTACATACTACCCAGTGCAGTTCCACCAATACTATACATACTTCCTAGTGCAGTTCCACCAATACTATACATACTTTCCGGTGCGTCCGTCCCAGATCTTGATGGACTTGTCGAAGGAAGCCGATGCGAGGAGGCGTGTGTCGGGGGAGAACAGGACCTCATTGACCAGAGCGCTGTGACCCGTCAGCCTTGCCAGAGGCTTCTTATCCTCTGCTGGGTTCCAGAGGAACAAGGTGAAGTCATCAGAGCCCGACACCAGACGCTCCGGGGCCGCACCCTACACAGAGGGACATAGGTTCAGAGTGGACCCCAGGAACCCCTTGGCAGCAGCTATTGGGGATCCTAATAAATACTAAATACACAGTAGAGACACTTACCCTGACTTTGTTGTATCTCTGCAAGGCTTTCTCTTTGAGTTCCTCAACTGTGGAGAGAACGGAGGTGTCAAAACTATGTTGTTCAATATCACTACTCCAAGACCGAGAGTTAGGCAGAGACAGAGGTGTAAGTATGTAGAGTCAGAGAAAGATCGAAGAAGGAAAGAGAGAGAGGCAGAGGACAGATGTACGTACATGTTCCAGTCTGGTCCTGGGGGTTGATGGTAGCGTCGGCGGGATCGAAGGCGCCGGTACGTAGCACGTAGTCAGTACTGAGAGCCAGGGTGTTGACCCAGTGAGCATGGCCTTGAAGAGTCCTGCACTGGACCCCCTGAGGAGGAGAGGAGGGGAGGAGGACAGGGGTCAGATGAAGTATAATGTCTCCCTCCCAAATGGCCCCTTATTCCCTATATAGTGCACTACTTTTGACCAGGGTCTCGCGCACACACTCCCTTACGTCTTTAGCCCTCCAGACTTTAACGGTCCTGTCCTGTGATGATGTGTATAGCAGTCCGTCTCCGCCCCACTTCACACAGGTAACAGACTGGGTGTGCCCCGTCAGGATCCTCTCACAGCGGCCCAACACAACGTCCCAAACCCTCACCGCCCCGTCCTTACTGCTGCTAGCCAGGTAACGGCACTCTGGGTTACTGAGGAGAGAGAAGGCAATATAGTTATATTAGAGAGAGAGGAGAAAAGAGAGAGATGAAAGGATAAATAGAGGAGTATAATCTTACAGGTGTAGAGGTTCCCAGCAGATCCATGTGATCCACTTGGTGTGTCCTGTCAGGGTCTTTCCCATCTGCTGTCCTGTCACTGGGTCCCATATACAGATCTATACAAATAGGCACACTGGTTAACACACACACACACACACACACACCTGAGACTGGGTCCCAGATACAGATCTGAGGAGAAACAGTGAGTATGTGTGTGTGTGTATATGTGTGAGGGGAAATGTGTGTGTTTAACCAGACACATTGTAGTCTTTAGAAACAGATACTGTTATTTTCCTATTGGGTCATATGTTAACAGACTTGTTTTGTTCAACAAAAGTAGTTTATATTTATTTTTAATTTTTTTTACCTGGGTGGGTGTGTGAGCACATGTGCATGAGTGAGTGACAGTGTGAGTCAGGGTTGGGGTCAATTCCAACGTAATTTCAAATTAAATTCTGGAATTGAAGCAGGAAGTGGAGAATTGGAATTGCAGTAATCTTCAAACAATTTTCTATTGGAATTTAGACTGAATTGGAATTGAAAAAGAAAACCATCATTGGAATGCAATTCATTTGGAAAATAAAAGCATCCTTGGAATGGAATTAGATTTTTTTAAAAACTTAAATTGTATTACAATTGTGCAAATTCCAGTTACTGGAGTTAATGTATTTAGCATTGAAATTGAATGCAAACTAGTTTTTTTGGTCCAACTAAAGTGATAGGTCAACCAAATTACATATTGGCTTCCTTATTCTTAAGCAGTCTATGAACCATGGCCTTGTCATTTTGTAATTTGGGTCCCTTAAAAGGATAGGAGCATGACTTTTTTACTCAACAAAGTAACACTGTGTGGTCAAAGACATAGTTGCAGTCACAACCTGGTTACCTATAACTACAAACAGTTAAATGTTTTATTTTTATATATTTATTAACTTATTTGCGGATATCTTCTAAACTACCCACAACGCACTATTCTTCAACATCATATGGAACCCAACATACTGACTTTGCAAGAGCCACGCTCTACTAACTGAGCTACAGAGGTCTACAACATGTTTCATTGCTTACTTATAACCTTGGATAAATTCTGGTGTCAGGGGGCTGATTAACATATTTCCCAGCATGCCGTTTTACTGGTCCATTTTCCCCAAAAATTCTTTGTTTCCATGTGTGTACATTGATTGCTCTTTATATTATGCAGCACAAAGATAAATATATACATCTTTTTTTAATCTACTCTAATCTGTCAGTGGTTGGATTTATTGCACCCGTTATTGAGATGGTGGAGCCAGTTCAATGGTTTAGGTTGTCTTGTCAACTGTATGCACCAACCTCATAAGGATTGGACCCTTTTTTTCAATTTTCGCCTAAAATGACATACCCAAATCTAACTGCCTGTACCTCAGGACCTGAATGAAGCAAGGATATGCATATTCTTGATACCATATGAAAGGAAACACTTTGAAGTTTGTGGAAACTTTAGCGCACATTAGCTCAACCGTCCCGTATACGGGACACCAATCCCGTAGAGGTCAACTTGCAATCAGTCTGAATGCAAAAGGTGGGTGATGAACTACCCTAAATATTGCAAATCCACCGATTGGTTGGATTTCAATGGGACATAAACACCACCCTGAAGGTTCTCACAATTTGATAAATTGGCCTAAAGTGGTGTGCAAGTCAATGATAAAATTTCGCTGTGCTAGGAAGTAAACAGGCAATCAAAGATGTACCTTCTGGTATTTGAGTACACTTATAATTACATATTTTCTGTAGCCTTTGATAAGAGGCTGGACATGCAAGTGAATGCAATGACGGTCTCTTTCACTAACACACGCCATCATGAGTGGTAATTCCAGTGTTCACTCTAAAGGCACACTGGGATATATGCAAATGTATGGATATACAGTGGGGGAAAAAAGTATTTAGTCAGCCACCAATTGTGCAAGATCTCCCACTTAAAAAGATGAGAGGCCTGTAATTTTCATCATAGGTACACGTCAACTATGACAGACAAATTGAGAAAAAAAAATCCAGAAAATCACATTGTAGGATTTTAAATGAATTTATTTGCAAATTATGGTGGAAAATAAGTATTTGGTCAATAACAAAAGTTTCTCAATACTTTGTTATATACCCTTTGTTGGCAATGACACAGGTCAAACGTTTTCTGTAAGTCTTCACAAGGTTTTCACACACTGTTGCTGGTATTTTGGCCCATTCCTCCATGCAGATCTCCTCTAGAGCAGTGATGTTTTGGGGCTGTCGCTGGGCAACACAGACTTTCAACTCCCTCCAAAGATTTTCTATGGAGTTGAGATCTGGAGACTGGCTAGGCCACTCCAGGACCTTGAAATGCTTCTTACGAAGCCACTCCTTCGTTGCCCGGGCGGTGTGTTTGGGATCATTGTCATGCTGAAAGACCCAGCCACGTTTCATCTTCAATGCCCTTGCTGATGGAAGGAGGTTTTCACTCAAAATCTCACGATACATGGCCCCATTCATTCTTTCCTTTACACGGATCAGTCGTCCTGGTCCCTTTGCAGAAAAACAGCCCCAAAGCATGATGTTTCCACCCCCATGCTTCACAGTAGGTATGGTGTTCTTTGGATGCAACTCAGCATTCTTTGTCCTCCAAACACGACGAGTTGAGTTTTTACCAAAAAGTAATATTTTGGTTTCATCTGACCATATGACATTCTCCCAATCCTCTTCTGGATCATCCAAATGCACTCTAGCAAACTTCAGACGGGCCTGGACATGTACTGGCTTAAGCAGGGGGGCACGTCTGGCACTGCAGGATTTGAGTCCCTGGCGGCGTAGTGTGTTACTGATGGTAGGCTTTGTTACTTTGGTCCCAGCTCTCTGCAGGTCATTCACTAGGTCCCCCCGTGTGGTTCTGGGATTTTTGCTCACCGTTCTTGTGATCATTTTGACCCCACGGGGTGAGATCTTGCGTGGAGCCCCAGATCGAGGGAGATTATCAGTGGTCTTGTATGTCTTCCATTTCCTAATAATTGCTCTCACAGTTGATTTCTTCAAACCAAGCTGCTTACCTATTGCAGATTCAGTCTTCCCAGCCTGGTGCAGGTCTACAATTTTGTTTCTGGTGTCCTTTGACAGCTCTTTGGTCTTGGCCATAGTGGAGTTTGGAGTGTGACTGAGGTTGTGGACAGGTGTCTTTTTATACTGATAACAAGTTCAAACAGGTGCCATTAATACAGGTAACGAGTGGAGGACAGAGGAGCCTCTTAAAGAAGAAGTTACAGGTCTGTGAGAGCCAGAAATCTTGCTTGTTTGTAGGTGACCAAATACTTATTTTCCACCATAATTTGCAAATAAATTCATTAAAAATCCTACAATGTGATTTTCTGGATTTTTTTCTCTCAATTTGTCTGTCATAGTTGACGTGTACCTATGATGAAAATTACAGGCCTCTCATCTTTTTAAGTGGGAGAACTTGCACAATTGGTGGCTGACTAAATACTTTTTTCCCCCACTGTATTTCTATCACGAATCTGGTTTTGAACTATGATTTAAGCAATTTACATGTTTAAATGTTACATAAAGGGTTTGTTTGAATATTTTTTTAAAGTGTAGCAAATGTGTTTTAGGCGTTTTCCAATCGCTAAAAAAGTTTTAGTGATTGTAATCATTTTTATAGCATGGAGGTTTGTTCCCCAAACTGTGCCAAACCAATTGGGGGGGGGGACGACGACTATAATGCAATAATGAATAATACAGTAGCCACTACCGAGTGGAATAGAGTATTTTGGGCATTATTTCATGCTATTAAACAGCTTTAATTTATCTAGAATTAATGAATTAGGAATTGTATTTTTGAATAGACTTATTATTGGCATTCGAGATGAGTTGAATTGACTCAATTTAAAGAAATGCTATGGAATTTTGAATGGATGGATTTTCTAGGGATAGGGAATTTAATTGGAATTGAATTTGTGGAATTGACCCCAACCCTAGTTTAAGTGTGTGTGTGTGTGTCTCTCTCTCACCTGGCTGTTCTTGCAGCCAGAGGCCAGCTTCCTGCCGTCAGGTGACCAAGAAATAGTCAGCACCCAGTGGGAGTGGCCTAGAGGAGGGGAGGAGACAGTGAGTGTTCACAAGGGTCAGGTCGATCAATTCTACACATTGCTGTGTGTGTGTGTGTGATGGGCATGGTTATTCGAATACTGAAATATCAGAACGGACGTTAGCATTCGATTACCTGCGAGAGTATTCATTTAAAAATAAAACATAGAAATGATATAATGCATCTCATTTACATAAGTATTCACAACCCTGAGTCAGTACTTTGTAGAAGCAGCTTTGGAAGCGATTACATATGTGATCTTTCTGGGTAAGTCTAAGAGCTTTCCACACTTGGATTGTGCAACATATGCCCATGTGGTCCATAACAGAAACAGTAATTGAAAGACCTTTAGACCAATACATATTCACTAGTGATGCGTGGGTTGACTCATAACCCACAGTCCCTGCGGCTATATCCGCGGGGCTGGCAGGTTTAGGGTCATGAAATATTGTGTAGAAAAAATTGAAAACTATCCATTAAAAGTCCATAAATGTATAATTTTTGTGCAATTCATATCTATAGGCTACATTGAGGTTTTCCTTTCATTATTTGTATCTGGCGTTAGTGCGTAGCCTAAGCCTAAACTTTAGGGCCTAACTGTAGTGTGCCAAATACACGCCAAATGGTTTTGGGAACTTTGGCCAGAAAAGGTTTATGTCAATCCACTGAGGCAAAAAGGACAGTGTCGCAGTATAACTCCATAACAGAAAATGCGAAATGGAGAGTTGAAAATAAATAGAAGGGAGGGCCAGAACAGTAGTCTAATGTTTGGGAAAGATTTGGTGAAGTGGTAAAAGAGGATGATAGCAGTGCCAGCTATGCGGCTATGTTATGTGTGATGATTGTGAGGCGGTATACAAATTCGACAGTCACAAGACGGAGACTTCAAGGGAACTGTACTGTTCAGATGGGTTGAATGGAATAGTATCCTAAATGAAATCTTCACACTGACTGTAGGTATACAGTGGGGAAAAAAGTATTTAGTCAGCCACCAATTGTGCAAGTTCTGCCACTTAAAAAGCTGAGAGAGGCCTGTAATTTTCATCATAGGTACACATCAACTATGACAGACAAAATGAGGAAAATAATAATCAGAAAATCACATTGTAGGATTTTAAATGAATTTGCAAATTATGGTGGAAAATAAGTATTTGGTCAATAACAAAAGTTTCTCAATACTTTGTTATATACCCTTTGTTGGCAATGACACAGGTCAAATGTTTTCTGTAAGTCTTCACAAGGTTCACACACTGTTGCTGGTATTTTGGCCCATTCCTCCATGCAGATCTCCTCTAGAGCAGTGATGTTTTGGGGCTGTCGCTGGGCAACACAGACTTTCAACTCCCTCCAAAGATTTTCTATGGGGTTGAGATCTGGAGACTGGCTAGGCCACTCCAGGACCTTGAAATGCTTCTTACGAAGCCACTCCTTCGTTGCCCGGGCGGTGTGTTTGGGATCATTGTCATGCTGAAAGACCCAGCCACGTTTCATCTTCAATGCCCTTGCTGATGGAAGGAGGTTTTCACTCAAAATCTCACGATACATGGCCCCATTCATTCTTTCCTTTACACGGATCAGTCGTCCTGGTCCCTTTGCAGAAAAACAGCCCCAAAGCATGATGTTTCCACCCCCATGCTTCACAGTAGGTATGGTGTTCTTTGGATGCAACTCAGCATTCTTTGTCCTCCAAACACGACGAGTTGAGTTTTTACCAAAAAGTTATATTTTGGTTTCATCTGACCATATGACATTCTCCCAATCCTCTTCTGGATCATCCAAATGCACTCTAGCAAACTTCAGACGGGCCTGGACATGTACTGGCTTAAGCAGGGGGACACGTCTGGCACTGCAGGATTTGAGTCCCTGGCGGCGTAGTGTGTTACTGATGGTAGGCTTTGTTACTTTGGTCCCAGCTCTCCGCAGGTCATTCACTAGGTCCCCCCGTGTGGTTCTGGGATTTTTGCTCACCGTTCTTGTGATCATTTTGACCCCACGGGGTGAGATCTTGCGTGGAGCCCCAGATCGAGGGAGATTATCAGTGGTCTTGTATGTCTTCCATTTCCTAATAATTGCTCCCACAGTTGATTTCTTTAAACCAAGCTGCTTACCTATTGCAGATTCAGTCTTCCCAGCCTGGTGCAGGTCTACAATTTTGTTTCTGGTGTCCTTTGACAGCTCTTTGGTCTTGGCCATAGTGGAGTTTGGAGTGTGACTGAGGTTGTGGACAGGTGTCTTTTTATACTGATAACAAGTTCAAACAGGTGCCATTAATACAGGTAACGAGTGGAGGACAGAGGAGCCTCTTAAAGAAGAAGTTACAGGTCTGTGAGAGCCAGAAATCTTGCTTGTTTGTAGGTGACCAAATACTTATTTTCCACCATAATTTGCAAATAAATTCATTAAAAAATCCTACAATGTGATATTCTGGATTTTTTTCTCTCAATTTGTCTGTCATAGTTGACGTGTAGCTATGATGAAAATTACAGGCCTCTCTCATCTTTTTAAGTGGGAGAACATGTACAATTGGTGGCTGACAAAATAACAATTTTCCCCACTGTATGTATGTATGTATGTATGTATGTATGTATGTGTATATATATATATATATATATATATATATATATATATATATATATATATATATATATATATTTTTTTTTTTTTTGAGGTGTTCTCCAAATCAGCTTTACTTCGGAAACAATCCCACAACACCCTGCGGTCAGCATCACAATTAATGAAAAACGTCTAAAAAAGATGGGATACATTTTTGTAAATGAGGCGGGTGAAGTTGGGCATCTACTCGTCAATCTGCGGGCACATTTCATCCCTGGGAATTTCCACAGCTATCAACAATGGAACGAGGGCTTCTGCAATAATTTCGCTTCACAAAGTGGATGCCAGCAGCACCAGCAGAGACCGCGAGCATAATCACTGGCATGGAAGTGAACTGGGTAAGTGAAAGAGCTAGCTAGCTTCCTACCTCTATGCTAATGTTAGCTAGCTATAGAGCTACCACATTCAGCTCACGTCTTCCATCTAAATAACACTAATAAAGTTAACCAAATGTAAACATGTCTGCTAGCTGTTGGTAGCCAACTGCTGATGCCGTCATAGATAATACAAGCCTTCTCTTCCTCCATTTCTAAATGAATGTGGGATATTCTTTCTAGCTGGCAAAAGAAGTGAGCTAGATCTTGTTTGTGTACTGCCATATGTCGATAACATAGATGTTTTCACTGGTATGGGCTAGTAAATATCCTAAACCTAGCCAGTTAGACAGTGATAGCCACAAGCTAAAACCGAGGGGAGACAGAATTCACTTTTTTTCATCAGCTTCTGGCTTGCTAATGTTCACTCAAACGTTTTCCACAAGTACAGCACATTCGGAAATTATTCAGACCCCTTTACTTTTTCCACATTTTGTTACGTTACAGCCTTATTCTAAAATTGATTAAATAAAAACAATTCCTCAATCTACACACACAATACCCCATCATGATAAAGCGAACAGGTTTTTAGAAATCTTTGCAAATGTATACAAAACAGAAAAAAATTTACATAAGTATTCAGACCCTTTGCTATGATACTAAAAAAAATTAGCTCATGTGCATCCTGTTTCCATTGATCATCCTTGAGATGTTTCTACAACTTTATTGGAGTCCACCTGTGGTAAATTCAATTGATTGGACATGATTTGGAAAGGCACACACACCTGTCTATATAACAAGGTCCCACAGTTAACAGTGCATGTCAGAGCAAAAACCAAGCCATGAGGTCGAAGGAATTGTCCGTAGAGCTCCAAGACAGGATTGTGTCGAGGCACAAATCTGGGGAAGTGTACCAAAAAATGTCTGCATCATTGAAGGTCCCCATGAACACAGTGGCCTCCATCATTCTTAAATGTAAGAAGTTTGGAACCACCAAGACACTTCCTAGAGCTGGCCGCCCGGCCAAACTGAGCAATCGGGGGTGAAGGGCCTTGGTCAGGGAGGTGACCAAGAACCCTATGGTCACTCTGACAGAGCTCCAGAGTTCCTCTGTGGAGATGGGAGAACCTTCCAGAAGGACAACCATCTCTGCAGCACTCCACCAATCAGGCCTTTATGGTAAAGTGGCCAGACGGAAGCCACTCCTCAGTAAAAGGCACATGACAGCCCGCTTGGAGTTTGCCAAAAGGCACCTAAAGACTCTCAGACCATGAGAAACAAGATTCTCTGGTCTGATGAAACCAAGATTGAACTCTTCGGCCTGAATGCCACGCGTCACGTCTGGAGGAAACCTGGCACCATCCCTACGGTGAAGCCTGGGGGTGGCAGCATCATGCTGTGGGGATGTTTTTCAGCGGCAGGGACTGGGAGACTAGTCAGGATTGAGGGCAAGATGAACTGAGTAAAGTATAGAGATCCTTGACAAAAACCTGCTCCAGTGCGCTCAGGACCTCAGACTGGGGCGAAGGTTCACCTTCCAACAGGACAACGACCCTAAGCACAAAGCCAAGACAATGCAGGAGTGGCTTCGGGACAAGTCTCTGAATGTCCTTGAGTGGCCCAGCCACAGCCCGGCCTTGAACCCGATCTAACAGCTCTGGAGAGACCTGAAAATACAGTGAGGGAAAAAAGTATTTGATCCCCTGCTGATTTTGTACGTTTGCCCACTGACAAAGAAATGATCAGTCTATAATTTTAATGGTAGGTTTATTTGAACAGTGAGAGACAGAATAACAAAAACATCCAGAAAAATGCATGTCAAAAATGTTATAAATTGATTTGCATTTTAATGAGGGAAATAAGTATTTGACCCCCTCTCAAATCAGAAAGATGTCTGGCTCCCAGGTGTCTTTTATACAGGTAACGAGCTGAGATTAGGAGCACACTCTTAAAGGGAGTGCTCCTAATCTCAGATTGTTACCTGTATAAAAGATATCTGTCCACAGAATCAATCAGATTCCAAACTCTCCACCATGGCCAAGACCAAAGAGCTCTCCAAGGATGTCAGGGACAAGATTGTAGACCTACACAAGGCTGGAATGGGCTACAAGACCATCGCCAAGCAGCTTGGTGAGCAGGTGACAACAGTTGGTGCGATTATTCGCAAATGGAAGTAATACAAAATAACTGTCAATCTCCCTCGGCATGGGGCTCCATGCAAGATCTCACCTTGTGGAGCTGCAATGATCATGAGAACGGTGAGGAATCAGCCAAGAACTACACGGGAGGATCTTGTCAATGATCTCAAGGCAGCTGGGACCATAGTCACCAAGAAAACAATTGGTAACACACTACGCTGTGAAGGACTGAAATCCTGCAGCGCCCGCAAGGTCCCCCTGCTCAAGAAAGCACATATACAGGGCCGTCTGAAGAATGCCAATGAACATCTGAATGATTCAGAGGAGAACTGGGTGAAAGTGTTGTGGTCAGATGAGACCAAAATCGAGCTCTTTGGCATCAACTCAACTCGCCGTGTTTGGAGGAGGAGGAATGCTGCCTATGACCCCAAGAACACCATCCCCACCATCAAACATGGAGGTGGAAACATTATGCTTTGGGGGTGTTTTTCTGCTAAGGGGACAGGACAACTTCACCGCATCAAAGGGATGATGGGCGGGGCCATGTACCTTCCCTCAGCCAGGGCATTGAAAATGGGTCGTGGATGGGTATTCCAGCATGACAATGAACCAAAACACATGGCCAAGGCAACAAAGGAGTGGCTCAAGAAGAAGCACATTAAGGTCCTGGAGTGGCCTAGCCAGTCTCCAGACCTTAATCCCATAGAAAATCTGTGGAGGGACCTGAAGGTTTGAGTTGCCAAACGTCAGCCTCGGAACCTTAATGACTTGGAGAAGATCTGCAAAGAGGAGTGGGACAAAATCCCTCCTGAGATTTGTGCAAACCTGGTGGCCAACTACAAGAAACGTCTGACCTCTGTGATTGCCAACAAGGGTTTTGCCGCCAAGTACTTTTCCACCAAGTACTAAGTCATGTTTTGCAGAGGGGTCAAATACTTATTTCCCTCATTAAAATGCAAATCAATTCATAACATTTTTGACATGCATTTTCTGGATTTTTTTGTTGTTATTCTGTCTCTCACTGTTCAAATAAACCTACCATTAAAATTATAGACTGATCATGTCTTTGTCAGTGGGCAAACGTACAAAATCAGCAGGGGATCAAATACTTTTTCCCCTCACTGTAGCTGTGCAGCGACGCTCCCCATCCAACCTGACAGAGCTTGAGAGGATCTGCAGAGAAGAATGGGAGAAACTCCCCAAATACAGGTGTGCCAAACCTGTAACATCATACCTAAGAAGAATCAAGGTTGTAAATCGCTGCCAAAGGTGCTTCAACAAAGTACTGTGTAAAGGGTCTGAATACTTGCGTAAATGTAATTTCAGGTTATTGTTTATTTACATCTGCAAAAATGTCTAAAAACCTGTTTTTTTATTTGTCATTATGGGGTATTGTGTGTAGATTGATGAGGGGAAAAAAACTATTTAATCCATTTTAGAATAAGGCTGTAACGTAACAAAATGTGGAAAAAGTCAAGGGGTCTGAATACTTTCTGAATGTACTGTAATTGATTAAATTAGATTTTTATTCTATTTAGACTAATTGTGTCAATATGTTGTGAATATTGTAGAAAACTCTTCACAGCCTTTATCTTTAATAAAAAGTGAAGTCTCACTTGGTGAGCACCAGTTTACCATGTACAGTCGTGGTCAAAAGTTGAGAATTACACAAATATTAATTCTCACAAAGTCTGCTGCCTCAGTTATGATTTGCATATACTCCAGAATGTTATGAAGAGTGATCAGATGATTTGCAATTAATTGCAAAGTCCCTCTTTGCCATGAAAATGAACTTAATCCCCAAAAAACATTTCAGCCCTGCCACAAAAGGACCAGCTGACATCATGTCAGTGATTCTCTCGTTAACACAGCTGAGAGTGTTGACGAGGACAAGGCTGGAGATCACTCGGTCATGCTGATTGAGTTAGAATAACAGACTGGAAGCTTTAAAAGGAGGGTGGTGCTTGAAAACATTGTTCTTCCTCTGTTAACCATGGTTACCTGCAAGGAAACACGTGCCGTCATCATTGCTTTGCACAAAAAGGGCTTCACAGGCAAGGACATTGCTGCTAGTAAGATTGCACCTAAATCAACCATTTATCGGATCATCAAGAACTTCAAGGAGAGAGGTTCAATTGTTGTGAAGGCGGCGTCAGGGCGCCCAAGAAAGTCCAGCAAGCACCAGGACCGTCTCCTAAAGTTGATTCAGCTGCGGGATCGGGGCACCACCAGTGCAGAGCTTGCTCATGAATGGCAGCAGGCAGGTGTGAGTGCATCTGCACGCACAGTGAGGCGAAGACTTTTGGAGGATGGCCTGGTGTCAAGAAGGGCAGCGAGGAAGCCACTTCTCTCCAGGAAAAACATCAGTGACAGACTGATATTCTGCTAAAGGTACAGGGATTGGACTGGGGTAAAAGCTTGTCCGGAGAAGACAAGGTGAGCGCTACCATCAGTCCTGTGTCATGCCAACAGTAAAGCATCCTGAGACCATTCATGTGGGGGGTTGCTTCTCAGCCAAGGGAGTGGGCTCACTCACAATTTTGCCTAAGAACAGAGCCATGAATAAAGAATGGTACCAACACATCCTCAGAGAGCAACTTCTCCCAACCATCCAAGAACAGTTTGGTGACCAACAATGCCTTTTCTAGCATGATGGAGCACCTTGCCATAAGGCAAAAGTGATAACTAAGTGGCTCGGGGAACAAAACATCGGAATGTTGGGTCCATGGCCAGGAAACTCCCCAGACATTAATCCCATTGAAAACTTGTGGTCAATCCTCAAGAGGCGGGTGGACAAACAAAAACCCACAAATTCTGACAAATTGATTATGCAAGAATGGGCTGCCATCAGTCAGGATGTGGCCCAGAAGTTAATTGACAGCATGCCAGGGCGGATGGCAGAGGTCTTGAAAAAGAAGGGTCAACACTGCAAATATTGACTCTTTGCATAAACGTAATGTAATTGTCAATAAAAGCCTTTGACACTTATGGAATGCTTGTAATTATACTTCAGAATACCATAGTAACATCTGACAAAAATATCTAAAAACACTGAAGCAGCAAACTTTGTGAAGACCAATACTAGTGTCATTCTCAAAACTTTTGACCACGACTGTACAGTAAGCTATAGGCAATATGTTCCTCCACCGTGTGAGTCATAGAAATTATGATCTTGTGTTCGGGGCTTTCCGGCAGTCTTCATGGTTTTTATATGTAGGGAGCATAAATTGTAAACTAACAAAGAATTGTTCAAGTTAGAACCCATGTATTATAAACTGGGTGGTTTGATCCCTGAATGCTAAGTGTGAACAGTATAAAACAATCATTGAAATCAATTATAATGTGTGTTGTCCTGGGGTCCTGCACAACTCATAAAGAACATTTTTATTATTCAAAAACATAAGTCACATTTTTTACCCCGGACCCCCGTCTAGGGTTCGTACACCCCAATTTCAATCTACATCTTGATTTACCCAGTTTATCAATAGAAATGTACCCTTCAAATACATTATTACCATTATGTTGTTATGAAGTTAGATTGTTAAAAACAAATTGATTGTATGATTGCATAATTAATTTATAACAATTACACATGCAATAATTTAATTCAAAAGATGCCCAACAATTGAACAGAGCAGTAGCAGAGTTTATCTGTCTGGATTAAGTGCCATTCTGTGACTTTGGCTAATATACATTTTTTTGCTGTGGTATCATTTTGGTATCGTGATACTAAACCTGGTATCGAAGTCAAAATTCTGGTATCGTGACAACACTAGTGAGTGTACCTCTGGAGGTATGTTGTGGTGTCTCGGTGGTCAAGTCCCAGAACCTCACTGTAGTGTCTCCAGAACCACTGGCCAGGTACCTGAGGAAAACACACATTACAGCTAGCCCAGCGTGTGTGTATATCTCTGTCTGTGTGTGTATATCTCTGTCTGTGTGTGTATATCTCTGTCTGTGTGTGTATATCTCTGTCTGTGTGTGTATATCTCTGTCTGTGTGTGTATATCTCTGTCTGTGTGTGTATACAGTGAGGGAAAAAAGTATTTGATCCCCTGCTGATTTTGTACGTTTGCCCACTGACAAAGAAAAGATCAGTCTATAATTTTAATGGTAGGTTTATTTGAACAGTGAGAGACAGAATAACAACAGCAAAATCAAGAAAAACGCATGTCAAAAATGTTATAAATTGATTTGCATTTTAATGAGGGAAATAAGTATTTGACCCCTCTGCAAAACATGACTTAGTACTTGGTGGCAAAACCTGTTGGCAATCACAGAGGTCAGACGTTTCTTGTAGTTGGCCACCAGGTTTGCACATCTCAGGAGGGATTTTGTCCCACTCCTCTTTGCAGATCTTCTCCAAGTCATTAAGGTTTCGAGGCTGACGTTTGGCAACTCGAACCTTCAGCTCCCTCCACAGATTCTCTATGGGATTAAGGTCTGGAGACTGGCTAGGCCACTCCAGGACCTTAATGTGCTTCTTCTTGAGCCACTCCTTTGTTGCCTTGGCCGTGTGTTTTGGGTAATTGTCATTCTGGAATACCCATCCACGACCCATTTTCAATGCCCTGGCTGAGGGAATGAGGTTCTCACCCAAGATTTGACGGTACATGGCCCCGTTCATCGTCCCTTTGATGCGGTGAAGTTGTCCTGTCCCCTTAGCAGAAAAACACCCCCAAAGCATAATGTTTCCACCTCCATGTTTGACGGTGGGGATGGTGTTCTTGGGGTCATAGGCAGCATTCCTCCTCCTCCTCCAAACACGGCGAGTTGAGTTGATGCCAAAGAGCTCGATTTTTGTCTCATCTGACCACAACACTTTCACCCAGTTCTCCTCTGAATCATTCAGATGTTCATTGGCAAACTTCAGACGGCCCTGTATATGTGCTTTCTTGAGCAGGGGGACCTTGCGGGCGCTGCAGGATTTTAGTCCTTCACGGCATAGTGTGTTACCAATTGTTTTCTTGGTGACTATGGTCCCAGCTGCCTTGAGATCATTGACAAGATCCTCCCGTGTAGTTCTGGGCTGATTCCTCACCGTTCTCATGATCATTGTAACTCCACGAGGTGAGATCTTGCATGGAGCCCCAGGCCGAGGGAGATTGACAGTTCTTTTCGTACCAACTGTTGTCACCTTCTCACCAAGCTGCTTGGCGATGGTCTTGTAGCCCATTCCAGCCTTGTGTAGGTCTACAATCTTGTCCCTGACATCCTTGGGGAGCTCTTTGGTCTTGGCCATGGTGGAGAATTTGGAATCTGATTGATTGATTGCTTCTGTGGACAGGTGTCTTTCATACAGGTAACAAACTGAGATTAGGAGCACTCCCTTTAAGAGTGTGCTCCTAATCTCAGCTCGTTACCTGTATAAAAAGACACCTTGGAGCCAGAAATCTTTCTGATTGAGAGGGGGTCAAATACTTATTTCCCTCATTAAAATGCAAATCAATTTATAACAATTTTTATATGCGTTTTTCTGGATTTTTTATTTGTTATTCTGTCTCTCACTGTTCAAATAAACCTACCATTAAAATTATAGACTAATCATGTCTTTGTCAGTGGGCAAACGTACAAAATCAGCAGGGGATCAAATACTTTTCCCCCCTCACTGTATCTCTGTCTGTGTGTGTATACTTACTTCCCAGTAGGGCTGAATGCGGCAGAGATGACAGCCTCTGTGTGTCCTTGTAGTGAGGAGGTACAGCGAGCCACAGCCCTGACCCTGAACACTGCCTGGGGTTGGTACACTACGGGCAGAACTGTCTCAGTCTCTGCCCCCAGGGCCTTCACACACACCCTCAGACTCTCTACCACCTCCGCCTCGCCACGCACAAAGAACGCCAACGGCACCGGCTCCTCCTGGAGCGATAGGGAGGGGGAGGAGAAGAGGCATTCGTTTATTTGGATCCCCATTAGATGTTACTATCACAACAGCTACTCTTCCTGGGGTCAACAGGACAAGATAGAGGGAAAGAGAGTAAGAGGGAGGGTTAGAGAGATGGAAGTTAAGTGTGAATCATGGGGCTGTACGTGGGGATTTACGGCAGTACACTGCAGTGTGTGAGTGTTGTAGGGTGGTGTGTGTGTGTACCTTCTGTAGCAGTACATTGCAGACCAGCTGTAGTTTGTCAGGTGTGATGTCCAGCGGGACATCAAAGGGAGAACCCAGCGGCTCCCCCGCTTCATCCTGAAACTGGATCAACAGCCGTTCCACATCACTGGACATCCTTTCTGCTCAGGGATGGATGAGGGGTTGGAGCTAGGGCTGTGACGATACAAGTATCACCATTTTTTCGATGGCAAAAATGAACAAATGAAGCAGATCAAACTTTGGTCTTTAAAAAAAACGCTGTATGTCAAATAGTGTGCTATAGCTTGTAGTGTTGCACGGTATAGCAAAACTTCTGTACTTTTCCCCATAAACATGAAAAACGGTCCGGTACTAGAATGTTACTTTCAGTACTTCTGTCAAATGTGTCTCACGGATCAACTCGCACAATCATGTCTATCAGTGCAGCCGATGTCCGTCCCCCTTTTAGCGTGAGACGCGCACCATGCCCTGCTCCACTTACTCATTGCTAGCCTGCCCTGCACTGGGAGTCTGGGCTGCATCATAACTTCTGTGCAGCATGAGTGGGGAGCTAACACATGTGAATAATTTATACACTGCATGTAGAAATGTTGAAAACTTAATTACTAGGGATGTGACAAATTTACAATTTTTCTTAATGTTTAAACTGCCTTTTGTTTTTGTTAAACCCCAATAACAAAAAATCATACAATTCCACGTCAATTTACAATGCAGAATAATGGTCCTATTACGTATGCATGACCGCTAGTCCCGGGCAATTAAGTTATATCTACCACAAACCCTTTATTGCCATAGAACGCAGTACAGTAACATGTCAATAATTTATAACTTTTCAGACATAAAAAAAAGTGCCCCATCAGAAGCGTCTGTACCCTTTCAGACAGTAGAATTCTGCTCTGGCATTTAATGTTCTATTGTTTCCCTGACAACAATAAACGTTGCTGATTGATGTGCTGCTGTGTTGTGTACGGTAAGGTAGCTAGATGTGCTTTCTTTCTACTAAATGTCTTGTCAAGTCACGATATTTAACAAACTTTAAAGTGCTTTTTTAGGAAAGAGTGGTCTGCGTGATGGAAGTTTGTCCCGCTTCAGAAGTGGCATTAATTTACAGACAAGTAAAATGCCATTCAGGTTCATGTCGGCGTTTAGTGTAGCCTACCCTAACAGACAAACAAACAGGCCATAACCGAGGCGCTTTTATGGGGCAACATAACATTATATCTGAAACGGGTAATCGATACAGGCTATACCGGTAGACTACTGTAATTTCATATTATGAGACAAAAACACCCCCACCCACTCAGCAACAAAGAATAGCCAACCCCGTACTCACAAGACTTGCCCGAAGATACTGTATTCCGGCGACATCGGTCCCATGAACGGCCTAAACTAGGATATTCTTCACACAACAGACCGAAGACTGAACACATCCAGTCATTAGAAGAGAAAGAGCCAGTGCGAGGGAGAGAGGAGGGGCAGGCAGAACCGTGCGCATATGTCTTGGTAATCTGCTTCTTGCAATGCCTTAATTGTCTTGCATGCCTAACAAATTCACCAAAGTAGCCTAAAGTTTGCCTCTACCTCTATGGTTTTATTTAAATGACAACTTTCCCCAGGCCTTTATAGCCATATCAGTGGAGGCTGCTGAGGGGAGGACAGCTCATAATAATGTCTAGAACGGAGCAAATGGAATGGCATCAAACACATGGAAACCATGTGTTTGATACCATTCCACCTATTCCGCTCCAGCCATTACCATGAGCCAGTCCTCCCCAATTAAGGTGCCACCAACCTCCTGTGAGCCATATAGCCTAGTTAGGCTATAAAACAGAAAATTATGTTTTGTGATAACTGCACCGTGATTTTAATTATGTGGTTAGGGATTTTTCTTAGCGTTAAGGATCCCAACTTCGTTTAAACGTTCACACCCCTATTAATTACTGTTCGCAAAACAATGTCCATACAGGCTAGAACACCTTACAATGCAAGAAGATACCGGTAGCTTACAGCTTTGTAGGCTAACTACCCTTGCTAGCTTAACATGAACTCACAACCCTATCCTAGTACTTTGTGATAGGCAAAATATGCTGATTTCAATGCCGATTACCACCCCAAAACTTAATTCAGTCACTTAAATCGATCTTTCCGTCACATCTCTCCATCAGCCAAAGATGATCGATTGCCTCAGCGAATTGACTGTGCTTAGGGCTCCAACCTAGGTTGAAGATCACAAAGATTAAGACAACGGGATACTAATATCCCATAACTCTTTGCAAACATGGGACAAGCGTTGCTAGTTAGCAACAGCGCTAGTAGATAGCAACGGCGCTGGTCTCACAAATGTTTATTTTCCAACATGGGATCCTTACGCTGTCTTAACCTGTATTTTTTCCACCTAGGTTCCAACAGCACCGTGAATGATGTCATTACTGGTTAAAGAGACAGTGCTGACTTTTATAAAATAAGCTACTTCTATGCAAATGTTTTTGATCAGTACAATAAAACAAGTCCCGAATGGAAGGGAAACAGATTGTTATCTGTAGCCCCATGAAATTAGCCAAAACAAGCTCAATAACTCAATGCATGCAAACTCCTATTGAATATGCATTCACCTGTATTGTGAATAGGCCTAGGCTACATCTTCATCTACCCAGTTTATCAATTGAGATTTAACATTGAAATAAATGATTATCATTAGGTTGTTAGAGTGGTAAAAACAAAGCCAAATTGATTGTATGATTGCATAATTGATTAATTAAATGCATACATGGTTGTCTCTGAAAAAATGTTGACGTAAAAAAAGGCATATGTAATGATATTGAACTCAAAATAAGCCCAACGATTGAAAAGAGCAGTGAATGAGTTTGTCTGGTCCAAGTGCCATTCTGTAACTTTGGCTAATATAGGCTACCTTCTTTGTTTTGCTGTGGTATCATTTTGGTATTGAGTATCGTGATGGTATCAAGTATTGTGATACTAAACCTTGTATCGAAGTGAAAATTCTGGTATCGTGAAAACACGAATAGCTTGGAAATTAAATCAAATGTGACTCTGGATGACATGTTTGTTTCCAAGGACCACGATTGTACAGGACAAACATACACTACCCGTCAAAAGTTTGGACACACCTACTCATTCAAGTTTAATTTTTTATTATTGTAGAATAATAGTGAAGACATCAAAACTATGAAATAACACATATGAAATCATGTAGTAACCAAAAAAAGTGTTAAACGAATCAAAATATATTTTATATTTTTCAAATAGTCACCCTTTGCCTTGATGACAGCTTTGCACACTCTTAGCATTCTCTCAACCAGCTTCATGAGGTAGTCACCTGGAATGCATTTCAATTAACAGGTGTGCCTTGTTAAAATTTAATTTGTGGAATTTCTTTCCTTCTTAATGCGTTTGAGCCAATCAGTTGTGGTGTGACAAGGTAGGGGTGGTATACAGAAGACGGACTCTGTATTTTACCAAATAGGGCTATTTATGGCAAGAACAGCTCAAATAAGCAAAGAGTAACGACAGTCCATCATTACTTTAAGACATTGAAAGTTTCTTCAAGTGCTGTCGCAAAAACCATCAAGCGCTATGATGAAACTGGCTCTCATAAGGACAGCCACAGGAAAGGAAGACCCAGAGTTACCTCTGCTGCAGAGGATACGTTCATTAGAGTTACCAGCCTCAGAAATTGCAGCCCAAATAAATGCTTCAGAGTTCAAGTCACAGACACATCTCAACATCAACTGTTCAGAGGGGACTGTGTTAATCAGGCCTTCATGGTCAAATTGCTGCAAAGAAACCACTACTAAAGCACACCAATAAGAAGAGACCTTCTTTGGCCAAGAAACACAAACAATGGACATTAGAACGGTGGAAATGTGTCCTTAAAGCATGGAGGAGGTGGTGTTATGGTGTGGGGGTGCTTTGCTGGTGACACTGTCAGTGATTTATTTAGAATTCAAGGCACACTTAACCAGCATGGCTACCACAGCATTCTGCAGCGATACGCCATCCCATCTGGTTTGGGCTTAGTGGGACTATCATGTTTTTCAACAGGACAATGACCCAACACACCTCCAGGCCTCGTAAGGGCTATTTGACCAAGAAGGAGAGTGATGGAGTGCTGCATCAGATGACCTGGCCTCCACAATCCCCTGACCTCAACCCAATTGAGATGGTTTGGGATGAGTCAGATGGCAGAGTGAAGGAAAAGCAGCCAACAAGTGCTCAGCATATGTGGGAACTCCTTCAAGACTGTTGGAAAAGCATTCCGGATGAAGCTGATTGAGAGAATGCCAAGAGTGTGCAAAGCTGTCAAGGCAAAGGGTGGCTACATTGAAGAATCTCAAATATAAAATATATTTTGATTTGTTTAACACTTTTTTGGTTACATGATTCCATGTGTTATTTCATAGTTTTGATGTCTTCACTATTATTATTATATTATTATTCTACCATGTAGAAAATAGTAAAAATAAAGAAAAACCCTGGAATGAGTAGGTGTGTCGAATCTTTTGACTGGTACTGTAGGTACAGGTAAGTGTTTTCAGAAAGTATTGACTGATGGTGAATCAATGTTGTTGCTAGCAAATCGCATTACCAGTTATCAAAACTCAACTCTGCCTCGATATAAAATAACAGATTGGAGCGTTCCTCAGCTAGCTAGCTCACAGTCAAGCTGTAATACACATGTAATTGGTACATACAGCCTGAAACGAATTACTGCAAACTCGTAAATGTTCCTTACAGGCCAGAATGTTGAATAAAATGACATTTGAACTTACTCTAACGGTTGTCTGTGCGGGTTGTCCTTCAGCAGCTTGAAATTTGAGACAAAATAGCCACAGGAAAGTATTGTTTAACCAACTTTTTAGAGCGCGGTACTGAAGTACAAATGTCTTACATGGCACCTGCAAAACCATTTAAAATAACTGCTGACTTCATTTAGTATGCATGCAACATGTGAACACATTTGCTCATGACCGAAGTACATGGTCAGCAGGCGTTTACATGGTTTTGCGCATGCACCAGGTAAGACATTTCTACTTAAGTACCGCGCTCTAAAAAGTGGGTTAAACAATACCTTCCT